GCTGTTTCATGTTCAACACCCCCAACACCCTTGGCGTTCCAGGAGACGAGGGTAACTCAGAGAGCGGTCAATTCGCGGTCGTGAAACTCAGCCATCATCTTCCGTCCAACACCTTGGGGTTGTACGAACAGACTTGTCCTGGGATTGACCCTGGGCGCCAGAACCGGCTGTTCCCCTCCCGACATTATGACAGCTCTGGCGTCGGTGATGCCAATGAACGCTAAAATTGTCATTGTCCTCAGATACTCAGTTCTTTAAAGCTACTTCAGGACCAAGTTCAAAAGCTAGGCCATGACCCTTCTCGCCGATTTTCTGCGAACCAGATCTCTTCTGCTGATGAAGCGGCCTTGAGAGCTGCAGAAGACAAATTTCTCCTTGACGGGAGACGCAATAGCTGGATGTCGCATATCAAGCCTATCCGGAGAAGTCCGGATGTTATCTTCTATAGGACAACTGTTGTAACCTCTTTTGTATAGTTTCGCTGCTCCTTAGATAATTCTCATTCAATACAATTGGCACCTTCGGCGCCATTATACTCGATCTTTTGTGACTCTGACACTGGACGTACTCGTAGATGGTGGGAGTATATAATTTCCTCACTGGACAGGCCACTCTTCGTGCCAGAGTTAGCCGCCTTAAGCGGAAGCAGAACCGATCGAGACCAAAGAGTCTTCTGAGTGCGGCCTCTTTGTAACAATTTCTTCCAGATCAGTGTATGACGCTAGCCGGTGGTGGGAACAGACGATGATCAACTCTCTTTTCTCAAATACATATTAATATCATTTCACCATGTCACTCTTTAACAGTGTGGGGAATCTATCTACCGATGTAGATGAAATGTAGATGTAGATAGATGTAGATCTACATCTATCTATCTACCAAGAGGTCATGTGGGTCATCTATCTACCTACCTGGCTACCTGGTAGATAGACGAAATGTAGATAGAGGCATAGAACTTGGTGGGATGTACAGGTACCTTGCGCCAACCTAAAACTACCTGAAGGAAGATGTTCCGGTACTATGGGCAACGCCGACGATCTTTGCGATTTGGATGCTGGCTATTTTTTGCTTTTTCGACCCCCTTTTGCCAGCAGCATTTTGTATCGTGTCTTGTAGTCCATAGATCATGTGGGAAGGCCGTTTCGATACTCCTCTACTATTGACAGCTACGCGTCTGACCTGTGCGATAGTTCGACGCTCGAAATGGCAACCGAACCCGACTCATCCACCCACTCAACGGGTCCAGTCAGTTCTGCACCGGCGAGCAGCCAGGCAATTTCAATTGGAATACAGTCATCGTCACTAATTAGCAGCCATGCGACAATGAAAGACTGGGAAGCAGTTTCTCCATCCATCCGCGCTCAATGGGTTCTCTCAACTCGAAGTGGGCTAGCCACCGGATGGTTTTGGGCTCACGGCTATGATGTTCAAGCCAGGACTACTGGCAGCAGGTTTGGTCCAACTTGCTGGCTCTGCTGCCATTGCATACGACAGAAAGCCCATAAACCGAAAGCCTATGTTTCATCGAACACCCGGAACATCGAAGGCCATCTAGGCAAAGCCCACAATATCTCCCATCCCGACCCAGCAAAAGCCAAATGGCACCCCCCCGAGCGACCTCCAAATCAAGCCTCCCTCCACGGTTTTACCGTCAAGAAACGCAAAGCCGACGACTTTCGTGACGAGCTAGCCGCCCGATTCGACAAGGCCCACTTCCAACGCCTTCTTGTCCAGTGGATTGCAGACGGAATTCTGTCCTTTCGCCTATCCGAGCACGAAGCTCTCCACAAGATGTTGGAATACCTTAATCCCCTGGTTCGAGAGACCTCAGCCCATCTCACACACAAAACTATTCGGACAAGGCTCGTGAACGAGTTTCATGCATATAAGTCCCATGTTATTGACACTCTTTCACGAAGCCCTAGTAAAGTGCGTTCGACGGGTGGACCTCTAGGAACCGACATTCATTCTTCTCAATTAATGCTTTTTTCCTTGACGAGGAAACATTCCAACCGAGGAAAATTGTCCTGGGTCTTCCTACCATCTCTGTATCTCACACTGGAGAGAACATCTCAATCGCCGTTACAGAGGTGCTTGAGGAATTCGAGTTGGTTTTGCAGAACAGAGTGGGCTGCTTTATTCTAGATAATGCTGCAAATAATGACCGAGCCGTCGAGGAGTTGGGCCGTACGTTGAAATGGAGGGACCCGGCCAGCAAGAGGATACGGTGTTTCGGGCACGTCTTTCACCGCGTCGCTCGAGCTATGCTCTTCATCAACAATGGCGATTCTTTTGAAGATCTTGGTCCCGATGACTTTGACGAATGGACCAAGGCCGGCGGCCCCGTAGGCAAGTTGCATAATCTTGTGGTCTGGGTCCATCGATCAAATCAGGCTACAGCAATGCTGCGAAGGCTTCAGGAAGAGGATCCAGACAAGGCCTACCCAGGTACACTAGATGTAGTTCTCGATAACAGCACACGTTGGCTCTCACAGTACTACATGATTGAGCGTGCAATAACGCTCCGACAATATCTTGAAGAGTTGATCGACATCACTGTGCAATCGAGCAAGAAGCTCACCAGATCTCGATCGAAACCCACACAACGACGAAATTCAGCACCAAAATGTCTCGATGAAGGGAATCTGCTTACGGACCAGGACTGGGACGCTCTCGGCTGGCTTAAGAATATTCTTGCCATGTTTGACTCCTGTCTTTTACGACTCGAAGGAGACGGCCAGGTCAGAGTTCGTAAAGGAGGGGTTGAGGCGCAGTACGGCGTGATATGGCAAATAGCTATTGCCTATGAGTTCCTCTTAACGACACTGGAGAAGGCGAAAATTGAAGCACAATGCCGACCAGAACCAAGTTACTATTCCACTTGTATCAACTCTGCCTGGCTCAAGTTAAATAAATATTACACAAAACTTGATGAGACCCGATGTACTATGCTGCCACAGTCCTACACCCTGGCATACAGTGGGCCTTTTTGCAGAAGGCATATGGCGGAAGAGAGGAATGGCTTTGCAAGGTTCATCATCTTGTCCAAACGCTATGGGAAGAGGAATATCGAGATCTGCCCATCCAGTGGCAACTGTGTGACAGTAGTCTTCCTTTGGCAGTGAGAGCTCGTGAATCCAATCCTTTTGACTCGATTCAAGACGAATTGATACCTTATACTAGCTGTGAGGAAGAAGGGATCGCAGACGAATTCGAGAGGTGGCTACGTACAAAGCAGGATGTATATACAAAGCATGATAACCCACTCCAGTATTGGTCTGCTAAGCGGTTTGAATACCCTCGCGTAGCCAAGATGGCGATCGATATCCTGTCGATCCCCGCCATGGCCGCCGAATGTGAGAGAGCTTTCTCGTCCGCAGGCAGCATGGTGTCTCCAAGGCGAACTCGTTTAGATTCGAGTACAGTTTCAGTTGCCCAAACGGTCAGATCATGGTTGAAGGCTGGATTGTTGGAAGGATACGACGGGTTGCTGAAGGACATGGGTGGTGGCCTGTCAGAGGGTTAGGGTTAGACTCCGAAGAAAATGTAGATAGATGACGTCTATCTACATCTACATGTAGATGTAGTAGTTCTGCCGGATGTCTGCTCCATTCTTACTGGTGTCACGGCAATAAGCATAGCCCAGGCATGTGCGATGTCTACCTATCTATCTTTCAGTTTATGACTAAGCATCTACATCTATCTATCGGAGCCGTCGGTAGATAGATGTAGACAGATTCCCCACACTGATGGGGCAACAAGGAAGAGGTCAAGATCAAATACACAACACCTTATGCCCATGAACAGAACGGCAGAGCCGAGAAAGCTGGCAAAGATATTGCAGCTGGAGCCCGCACAACGCTTATTCAGCTACAATTACCTCAAGAACTATGGCCTCTCTTCATGGAGACCAGTGTATATGTTCACAATCTCCTACCATCACGGCGGTACAACTGGCAAAGCCCAATCCAACGGATGTTCAAGATCATCAATTTGCCGTATGAACCAAGTCTCCGGCATATCCACACATGGGGTTGTAAAGCATACGTCACAATACCCAAGGAAATTCAAGTCAAGAGCCAGAAAATGGCCAGTAAAGCCAAGATTGGCAACCTTGTTGGCATGGAAGGTCTGCATGGCCCACGTATACAAAATATGGCTTCCGGATAAACAACGAGTCGTCCGAGCCCGTGATGTGCGCTTCCATGAGGGACCCAACAATAAAACCCGTACTGATCCGACGATTGAATACGAAGCTAAACTCGTCGAGCCAGACCCTGAAGGTTCTGGAAAGATCATTTACACAGAAGTGCGGAATGAGCTAGGCACAGACCTAAACGGAAAACAAACAGAGGAACATCGTGCGGATCCGTCTGGCACAATAACACCAGAAACACATTCAACGGACCGGAGTTCCTTGTCCCCAGATATTAGGCTGGGAACACCTCTCGAATCGCCACACAGTATGCTGTCAGATATTGATGTGGTCGAACAACTGGATGACAGCGGTGCTAGCCAAAGGCAGCATGAGCAGCTTCATCAAGACACAGGGCCAAGAAGACAGGCACCTGCAGACGTGGATGAGAACCCACGATCAGAAACACCGCGCAACACCTTGCAAGAACAAACACCACCCTATACGCCGGCCCAACAATATAGGGGAAATGAAACACAAATTCGGAACCAGCTTGCCCTAGAAGAACAGGAGGATATGCAGCAGGAACAACCCATCCCACCTGCACAGGCAATACATGGCACATTTTCCGAAGAACAGGATGTTGAAGATTCAGCGTCGGAACAGCTGATGGGCCAGGGGTTAGTGTCTGATCAAGACAATAATCCCAGCCAGACTTCACATCGTAGCCTGCGTGATCAACCACGGCGGGACTCCTCAGACAATGGCGCTACTATTGCTGCAGAAAGATCATCCAAGTACGTCAATCTAATATATCGAGAAGAAGATATCAGACAGGGACAGGCAAAACGCCCACTGATACCGATGTGGACGGTCATAAAGATCAGGGAACATCTCAACCAGCCACGGGTCCCAAAGAACTGGTTTGATGCCCGTGTGCGAAACGACTATAAGTCGAAGTGGCTGCCAGCAATGGAAAGACAGTTCCGCAGCCTCGTTGAGATGGATGTCTGGATACTTGTTGAGCTGCCACCGGGCAAAGTTGCTCTAGACGGCAGATGGGTGTATGATGAGAAATACCCAAAGGATGCTGATCCCTACGCACGAGCCAGATGGATCGTACGGGGTGATAAAATGAAAGACTCCTACACCTTAGAAGATCTCTATGCAGCA